ATCAGATGTTGAGTAGCCCTTGTCCAGAACTTTCAACCCAGCTGTTAGAATCTGAAATCTGGAAAACATAGTCTCAATGTTCTCAGATTCTTCCATCTTGAACGCTTCATACTTCTGTATCAGCGCCAGAGCCTTTGTTTCTTTCACCTGAGTGTTTCCCTCATGAGTCATTTTGAGAGACTCAAACATATCATGAGCAGTGTCTCTGTTGGTAATCTTCTCATACTCTGTATGAGAGATTGCATTAAGAAGTATGGTTCTGGCTTTGTGATGATTCTTGAATTCTTTCTTCTGCTCCTCAGTCATTGATTTTCTATCAATCTTTTTGCCATCCTTAGTAGGATGTTCATATCCATCAATGACTAAATCCCAGAGATCAGCATCATACCCCAAGAAAAAACTTTCAAGTCTATCTTTCCAATAATCAAATTTTTCTCCATCAAACATTGGAGGTTTGGTGCTGATTCTGTCTCCTTCATATTTGTTGCTTGATGTAGGAATATCACCCATATTAGCAACCAAATAAATAACAGAGTATTTTTCTCACTGGATCTTTATCTGTCACGGTTAAGCGAATGCACACTCAGAACCGGAGCTCTGATGCCAACTGAAGGTGAGAAAATACTTAGAAGGGGGGGTTGAATAAGTATGACAGAAAATAATCAAAGATAAAAACACAAGTATTTTTATCCTGGTTCGTTGAACTCAACTACTCCAGTCCACCCTTTTCAAGAGTGATTTGCCTTTCTCAACAAGGACTTAATCCACTATTCAAATCAACTGATTACAAATAGCAACACCTAAGAACAACTGTTCTTAGTCTTCTCAAGAGCTACTGATCTAACCTAGATCCTCTTAAGGAAAACTTCCTTTACAAATTAATGTAATACAATGTAAGAGTAAGAAATTGCTTCTAATAAAGCTATAAACACAACTGTGTTATTTCTCTAAGTTTAGAACAATGTATGAACAGCAGAGAATATGAGAGCTTTTAGCGTGAGAGAGTTCTTGCAATAAGTTCGTCAATTTCGTCACTGAAGAATGAGCTATGATATCCTTTATATAGCCACTTGAATATTGGAGAGAATATTTTACCGTTAGAGAAGATATTTTCCAATATCAAATAGTACTGTCCTTTGTACTATTGCAGCAGAGAGACGGCGCACAAAATGTGGGTGTAGCAATTGTCTGCTGAGCTGTGATTATACCATATATGGAATGTACCAGAGGAATAATATTCTTGCAGAGAATTTTGTCTATCCCAATTAAGGAAAGATTTGCTGGCATATTCCAACGGATATATTAAAATAATCTTCTTCAAATAATTCTTCAGATAGTTCAGATCAACAATCAATATCAGAGTCTTCAGTCTTCAGAATCTTCTGGAAACTTCAGAGCCTAAGATGTTCTTCAGATGTTGATGAAACAGAGTCTGGTGCAGCTGTGTGCTTGAAGCGTAACATGCTCTTAGATCAGAGTCTTCACTCAGATCAGAGTCTTCTCTCATTCAGAGTCTCTTCATTCAGATTCTTGATAATATATGCAGCGTGTTGTATCTTCAGAATCTTGATGACTAATCTCTTATACTTCAGATTCTTCTAATCTTCAGATGCTCTTGAGCCATTCAGAATTCATTGTTCACATCAAATTTGCTCTTTAAGATTAAAATCTTTTGTGCCTGTAGAAAACAGTTTAGAACAAATTTAGAGAGTATAATTCTTGTATACAAATTATCATTAATGTTATCATCAAAACATAGAGATATTTACTAAGACACAATCTGTGCTCTTACATCATCAACCTATCAACTTTCATACATGTGATGTTCAACTTAAAACATACCTTACCACTAAGTTTATATGTTACTATACAATTGAACAACACATATTACATTAGAAATTACAAGCTACGTGAATTAAAAATTTTCATAAACAACAATTTATTATTACCTTTTAATACTCTCATTCCCTAAATTTTTGTCTTCTTCGTTTCCTTGCTTCCCCTTTTCAACATAATTTTCTGCAACATGGTTGGGATTAGCTACTCCTTTTCTGGACTCATTTTTCGTTACAACAATACCTGAATCATTTTGTATCTCATGAAATTCAGCAAACACCATATACAATTTATCTCTTCTCCAAGGATCTTCTATCATAGACTCAGACAAAGATCTTCATTTAAAAATATTATTTCCAATAACATGTTTCTACTTAAAAAATATTTTAATATACAATACTCAATCACAATGACCCTAAAACTTTCACTCATATCTGATTCTTACTTGGCAAAGTATGACAAAAAGCTAATATTATTTCAATTAACATATTAGGATCTTTATTATGTAAACAATTTGGTTTTCTTTACCTTTGATCTTCACATGCAAATTCATTCTTACACCCTTCTAAATAAGAATTGCTTTTCTGATTTTGCGTATTAGGCAAAGCAATTTTTTCTTAAATTAATATTTGCAATGCTCCATTGTCACACCAACTGACCTTCGCCAAATCAACACTTTTATACTTTCTCTGTGAATCTCCGTTCATTACTTATTTTCCTATGACATTCATCCAAACATGTAAACCGAAAAAACATACAGAAGTTTACATATTAGGTTATTACAATCTTGAATTTAACTACTGTTACACGCATACATTACACAAAACATTTTAAACAAACAAAAATAAAAGACTACATACATACCAGAAGCTATGTGGCGGTGACAGTGTTTTGTCAATTGAAAGCCTATAGTTCTTTGATGAAGAAAAACAAACATGCAAAGCTTTTACAACCCTAAAGGCAAAAGCCTTTTCTCTTTTATTTTGAAAAGTGAAGAGACAGTAGTGTTATGGATGAAACAATCCATGTCTTTCTTTCTTTTTTTTCAACCACTTTTTACTAATGTTATTTAATATTCTTAATAAATTATATAAAAATATTTATAACTATACTCTTAAACTTATTTAGAGACTTACAATTATGTTTATAACTATACTCTTAAATTTATTTAAAGACTTACAATTATAATATGACACTTACAATAATATTATATTTATCAATATGTAACTTTAAAAAATTATTAAATTAATTGTGTTATTTATTGATAGCTAAATTATATTACAAATGAGTTTAAAATATTAATATTAATATATTTATTTTAGGTTTATACTCCCTCTGATCCTTCTTATAAGCAACACTTCACTATTTAAATTCATTAAATAATTAATATGTTGGTATTATAGGTCAGATAGATTAATTATTTAATAAATCTAGAAATGTGGAATATCTCTTATAAAAAGAACCAGATGGCGTAACTTCTAAAAAAATCATTTTGAGACCCTTATTTTTTGGGGTCCTGAGTCGTGGGCCCCAATGGTAGATGATTACTTTATTATTTAATTTATTTTATTATACAACAATATACATTTTTCATGAGACAAGATTATTTAATTTATATATTTTTTATACACATATCTTATCCATCATTATCTTTTATTTATTTATTATTTAAAACGGCATCGTGTGACCCGTGCAAACGCACGGGTCCTTTAATAAAGTATGGATTAAAATTGAAAATTGAACTTAAAGATGGTTAGATATTGTGTTGGGGATTGCCGTAAAATTTGAGTAAGAAGAGGAGGAAGATGTTGCGATGAAAGTTGCACAAAATAAATTGCAAAGCGTGTGCTTACACTAAATTTTAGGTTCGATTTGCACCTACCAATTTAGGCAAATTGGATGCCTGGGTACTCCGGTGAATCCTCTTTCAGAATATTTTAGAAGCCTTAACATGAATCGCACATTCACATTAAGCATATCGATCAATGATATTTTTCAGAATAAAATTCTCTCATTTATTCTCATGCACTAGAAAAATAAAAGAATAACTTAGATATAATTTATGACACTTGAAATAAGTAATTTTTGTGTATATTTTATGCACAAATATTTTTATTTATAGAAAAATTTGTAACAATTGGTGAGAAGAAACAATTTTTCAATGGTTTCAAGATGATCATTCGTGAACTATTATATATAAATAACAATAAAATTTTTCATGAAAAGTTGTGTTGTTCAGGTGGTTGCACCTTTCGACCACGTGCCCAACTTGACCTTACCATGGTCAGTAAATGAGACAAGTGCTGCAGAATCACAGCTAAAGAAGAAAGTCTGTTGTGCTGCGAGACGAATGCATAGTAGAGAGTGAAGAAGCTTGTGCAAAATGGATTGAGGTTCACTGACAGTGTCTACGTGCTGAGGAATTCAATATTTAAAATTGTGATGAGGAAAAAGATAAAGACGCTATTAGTTAAATGATTCAATTAATTTGATGAAATTGATAAAGATTTAGGATTACTGACTATGATTACACCGGTATTATAGTTGAAGTTCTGGAATAAAGTAGGAAAATTGGTTGATACTTGTGTATCATTTTTTCTAATTCTCTGCTTAATACTTGTGTGGAAAAATCACTTGTGGCACTTTTCTAAGGTGCAAGGCTTACAATTCTTTTGTTCAGAATCTTGAACCTTGATCTATAGTAGTGTTTTAGCAGCTTGATTATTTGGTCCCCAAGAAAACCCTGCAGTCATCCGTTTCCAGCATGGATGAAAATCAGATGGCTCAGGTTTAAAGTCCAACAAATCACCTTTAAAAGTTACTCAGTAGTACTTTCTTCCTTCCTTCTTATATCCCATTTTCCTCATGTTCAAATTTCAAATTGTGTGTATTAGACTATTTATCTTTAGGCTATGAAGATTATTTCAGCCTAAATGAGAGCTATGTGTTGATGTCCATGGTGGTGTCAATAGCATTGCAAAAGAATTTATCAAACAAAAGCTATATTTAAACTCCATTAATTAAGCACAGAATGTCACAACATTCATTGTGTTTCGCTCATACACACAGATAGTACTTTAGCAGAGCACAAATTTATTTACTGGAAGGTTACATTATTAATTTTGTATTGCCAAGTTCATGGCAATTACATTTGCATATATTCCTTAATGGCCGCAGGTGCAGTTAGTGCAGGTGCAGTTAGAACCACACTTGCAATCCCCCTCATGCTCAACTGTCTCAACATCCATGACAATGCTGCACAAAACAATTGACGGCTTATGTATTTTGTTGATCGTGTAATCTGCTAGCTTATCATTGAATCTAGAATAAATAGAACAAACTTTTACCTCTTTTCAGTCTCTACAATGGTCACACCCAAGTTGTTTCCTTTCCTGAATAGCAACATAGCATAGTATATAAGGGAGGATAAAATTTATTCAACCAGTCCTAGTAGATGCACAATGAGTGAACTCTATTAGATGGAAGAGTACTTACCCGCACTGGCTCTTGTCAGCGCAGTCGCAGTTGCCGCATGAGCTTGACATGTTTGATGGTTTGGAAGAAAGAAATGAAATTTGTTGTAAATTGAATGATGATGTTGTGTCTCTAAGCTGTGAACCATTGTCAAGTATTTATAGTAGAAGAAAAAGCAAATCTTAGTATATTAAAACAAATCTTGTATTGCAGACCTCCCAAAGCATGTGTGTGATGGGGGAATAGTTATCTTAAAGGAATCCAAGTCATGGAGGCTTAGGCTCCTCTGCTCCTCTCATGTTTATCATAAAGGAATCCAATTCCAATTCATGGAGGCTTAGGCTCCTCTGCTTCTCTAATGTCAATTTTAATTTGATTCTTGGTTCAGAGAGTCACGTATTCAAAATATCACGAGATTCCATTACTTTTTAGCTCTTTTCAAATTCACTGACAGTTGGAAATATGTGTTATCCTTATTAATGCTAGACTGAAATTCTGTTAACTAGTTTATTCCACTTTGAAGTTAGTTTTCTTTCTTGATCATTTTTTTAACTCTTTAATTTCATTATTTTCAATAATAATTATTAATTTTATGTTTAAATATAAGACTCTTAGTTTTTGTTGTCTCTTTTTATAACATCTATTTCAAGTTTTCAACTAGTTAATTAGTAAAAGATTCGTGTGGTTAATATATAATTTATTTATATATATTTGTATATATATTGCAAATTCATTAAATCAAATAAATCGTATTAAAATTGTCATAAATAATTAACCATTTTAAAATAGGTAATAAATCTATCATCTAAAAAAAATATAAATAGAAAACTGCTGATATGTGAAAAATGAAAAATCTTGAAAACATTTTAATCATCATAAATATTCATCTTAAATAATTATGAAATAATTATTCATCCAATATTAGTGCTTAATTACAGAACTTAAAGTCAAACATATTTTTATTCATAAAACCATTCTTTTTGTCGAAGGTGTCAGTGATGTTTTGATCAAAAAGAAGAATGGTGGACATTTTATGATCAAGGATGTCTTGTATATATTGGGAATTAAATGTAATCTATTGAATATTGGCCAATTGCTTGAGAGAAGTTACAAAATTCGCTTGGAAGACAAGATTTTGCACGTTGTGGATGCTAACAGAGTGTTGATCCTTAAGGCTCCTATGCCTGCTAATAGAACTTTCAAAGTTGAGTTGAAAGTGATGGAGCATAGGTGCTTAGCTACAGCGGAAAATAGAGAAGAGTGGTTGTGGTATTGCCGTCTTGGGCATCTCAATTTTTGGGATTTCAAAGCGTTGCAACAAAATGATATGGTTACTGGGCTGCCACATATCAATATTTCAACTGAGTTGTGTGAAGAATGTGTAAAGGGAAAGCAACACAAGGCAAGTTTTAGCAAGGATGCAGGTCATAAGACCAAGACTCACCTTGAGGTGGTGTATTCCGATGTTTGCGGGCCAATGCAAGTTGACACATTGGGTGGCAATAGGTATTTTGTCACTTTTATCGACTATTTTAGTAGGAAGCTATGGACTTACCTTATCAAGAGGAAGGATGAGGTGTTTGATGTGTTCAAGAAGTTTAAGTCTATGGTTGAAAGGCAATGTAGTCAAAAACTCAAAGTGCTCAAAACGGGACGATGGAGGTGAATACGTCTCAAATGACTTTGGGAAGTTTTGTGATCAAAAGGGGAGGGATATTGCATGAAGTTGTACCACCCTATACACCACAACAAAATGGTGTTGCCGAGAAGAAAATTTGATCAATTATGAATATGGTTTGAAGTATGTTAAGTAGGAAAAACTTGTTGAAGGAACTATGGGGAGAAGCGGTTTCTAAGTCACCTATTTGTTGAATAGGTGTCCTACTAAGAAGCTTTAGAAGCTGACACCGAAAGAGGTTTGGTTCGGATTGAAACCGAATCTAAGCCATTTGAGAGTTTTTTGTTCAGTGGTGTATCGACATGTGTCGGGTCAACTTAGAAAGAAGTTGGACGACAAGGGCGAGGAGATGATTTTGGTTGGATATCACTCTACTGGATGATACAAACTATTTGACGTGAGAAATTGGAAGATTTGATAAGCCGAGATGTCATTGTTGATGAAATTAGTGCTTCTAGTCCCAGAGTAACCGGTTACATGCAGGCAGTGCAATCTGATGTAACCAGTTAGATGTTGAGAAATGACACTTTCAGGTCTGCAGAGCAAGGTGTAACCGGTTACACCCAGACAGTTCATTCTGGTGCAACCGATTACCAACAAAGCAGAACCTCTAACAACTTTATTTTTGATGATCCTGTGAGTTCTGAAACCATTGTGCAGCCACCGAATGAGGTCCAAAACGAAGAAAATATTAGATGATCAACAAGGAAAATGTTGTTGCCTCAAAAACTCCAAGAATGTGAGATATTCCAAGACAAAGAAATCAATGATGATGGTTATTTCGTTCACTTTGCGCTTATGGCCGAATCTGAACCAGTGAACACAAAGAAGGCTCTAACTAATCCAAAGTGGATTTGTGCAATGAAGGAGGAGCTGGAATCTATTGAGAAAATGGTACCTGGGAGTTAGTTGATCTACCGCTTGGAAAGAAGCCGATTGGTGTGCGATAGGTCTATAAAGTGACAGAAAATCCCAAAGGCGAGGTGATCAAGCATATGGCTCGTTTGGTAGCAAAGGGATTCTTGCAACGTGAAGGTATAGACTTTGAGGAGGTGTTTTCACCTATGGCTAGACTTGAATCCATCCGATTAGTTGTTGACATTGCAAATAACAAAGATTGGATGATATTTCAAATGGACATCAAATCTGCCTTTTTGAATGATCCACTTAATAAAGAGGTCTATGTTGAGCAGCCCCCCGAATTTGTGGTAAAGAATCAAGAGATGAAGTACTACAAGTTGCATAAACATTATATGGTTTGAAACAAGCTCCAAGAGCTTGGAACAAACGCATTGATTGCTTCCTTGTTGACATTGGTTTCAAGCGATGTGTGTCCAAACACGAAGTTTATGTAAGATTGGATGCAAATGATGGTGTGATAATCCTTTGCTTGTATGTGGATGATCTATTGATTACCGGCAACGGTGAAAAGAGTATCTTTAAGTTCAAGAGTGAACTTATAGATGAGTTTGAGATGAAGGACCTTGGCATTATGACGCATTTCCTTGGCATAGAGCTCCAAAGGTAAAAAACGAGACTGCTCATGCATCAAAGGATATATGCTCTTGAGATCTTAAGGAGGTGTGAAATGGAGCATTGTAATGCGGCTATTACATCATGTGAAGCAAAGTTGTAGTTGTCCAAGAGTGAGGATGAACAAGATGTGGATCCAACTCAATATAGGAGATTGATTGGATCATTGCGGTACTTGCGCAATACGCGACCAGCCTTGGCATTTAGTGTCGGTATTGCTGGTAGATTTATGGAGAGACCTAAGGTGTCTCACTTGGAAGCGGTCAAGAGGATCCTTAAATATGTTAAAGGAACTCTTGGTTGTGGAATTCTTTTTTTGGCATCGGATACGGGCCAAAAATGCGATTTACTTGGTTTCACTGATTTCAATTGGTGTGGCGATAAGGATGATAGAAAGTCAACGGCTAGATACATCTTTATGTTTGATAGGACATCAATCTCTTGGTGTTCGAAGAAGGAACCAGCGGTAGCACTCTCATCTTGTGAGGCCGAGTACAGTGCGACATCGTTTACCCAGATTATGGTAACCACTTACCACTAGAGCATTTTTAGTTTTCAGTTTATTTTTAAGTTGTTTTACTTTTTCCAATGATTTATAATTGATGTATAAAAGGTCTTTAGTACTCCCAATTATTGTTAATGTCAATTTTTATTCTCATCTTCAGTATATCTCTCTATTTTTCTCTCTCAATTCGTAAATTCATCTTTTCTAAATTACTCTAATTCTCTATTAATTTACCTTAATTAATTTGTGTGTTTTAACAATAAATTGTAGAATTGAATGATGATGTTGTGTCTTTAAGCTCTGAACCATTGTCAAGTATTTATAGTAGAAGAAAAAGCAAATATTAGTAGATTAGAATAAATCTTGTATTGCAGACCTCACAAAGCATGGGAGAATAATCATCTTAAAGGAATCCAAGTCATGGAGGCTTAGGCTCCTCTGCTCCTCTCATGTCAATTTTAATTTGATTCTTAGTTCAGGGAATCACGTACTCATTACCTCTTTTCAAATTTATTGACAATTGAAAATATGTGTTATCCATCCTTGTTAATGCTAGACTGAAATTCTGTTAACTAGTTTATTCCACTTTGAAGTTAATTTTCTTTTTTGATCATCTTTTTAACTCTTTAAATTTATTATTTTCAATTATAATTATTAATTTTATGTTTAAATATAAGACTCTTAGTATTTGTTCTTGTCTCTTTTTATAACATCTATTTGAAGTTTTCAACTAGTTTATTTATTTTATTCCCATTATACTTTCACGTGGCAACTTTTGTGTTTTTTAATATAAAAAATTAGTAAAAGATCTGTCCATCCACATAGATCTATTAATTTTAATTTATATATAATTTATTTATATATTTATAAATATGAATCGATAAATTTAATTGTATATTGCTAATTCATTATATCAAATAAATCGTATATGATAATTGTCATAAATAATTAACCATTTTAAAATAGGTAATAAATCATCATTAAAAAAATCAATTGAAAAATGCTGACACGTGAAAATAGAAAATCTTGAAAACATTTTAATCCTCATAAATATTCATCTTAATTGATTATGAAATCATTATTCATCCAATATTAATGTTTAATAAGAGAATTCAAAGTCAAACATATTTCTATTCATCAAACTAAGTCAACAAAGTCAACACAAAATATAGACAATTGAAAAAAAAATTAAAATTTTAGAGTGAAAGAATGATAATATTTTTACATAAACAACAACAAACTAAAAGCAAGTAACAGCTAAACACTACAATCAGTAAAAAGTTGTATAAACATTTGATCGAAAATCATTAGAAAAACTGTCATATTTTACCAACACCAGCAGCTTATAACAATGC